GTAGCCCCATCTAAGTTGTATTTGCCTAGTTTATTGATAAGAATATCATGCGAGACCGTATCAAATGTCTTACTAAAGTCTAGGTATACCACATCCACCGCTTCTCCCTTATCCACAAGACTCGTTATTCTATCAAAGAAAGCTATCAGATTGGTTTGACATTTGTTCTTTGCAAATCCATGCTGGCTGTTCCCTATCACCTTGCCACTTTCCAAGTGTTGACAGATGATTTCCTTAATTACTTGCTTCATTATCTTTCCTGGCACAGAAGTTAAACTAACTGGTCTGTAGTTTCCTGGGTTGTTCTTATTTCCCTTTTTATAGATGGGCACAATATTTGCCCTTTTCCAGTCCTCTGGAATCTCTCCTGTCTCCCATGATTTTCCAAAGATGATAGCTAGAGGCTCAGATACCTCCTCTATCAGCTCTGAGTATTCTAGGATGCATTTCATCAGGCCCTGGTGACTTGCAGGCATCTAACTTTTCTAGGTGATTTTTAACTTGTTCTTTTTTTAATTTTACCTTCTAAAATTACCCCCTTTCCACTAGCTTTCGCTATGTTAGGCATTCCTACAGACTTCTCGGTGAAGACCGAAACAAAGAAGTCATTGAGCATCTCTGCCATTTCCAAGTTTCCTGTTACTGTTTCTCCCGCCTCACTGGTCTTCCTCTTGCTTCTAATGTATTTATAAAAAGTCTTCTTGTTTCCCTTTATTCCCGTAGCTAGTTTGAGCTCATTCTGTGCCTTTGCCTTTCTAATCTTGCCCCTGCATTCCTGTGCTGTTTGCCTATATTCATCCTTTGTAATTTGTCCTACTTTCCATTTTTTATAGGACTCCTTTTTTATTTTTAGATCATTCAAGATCTCATGGTTAAGCCACGGCGGTCTTTTGCCATATTTTCTATCTTTCTGACACATCGGAATAGTTGGTTTGTCAGGAGGCCCCAGGAGTTGCCTTTGGAGCTAGGGGCAGGCTGGTGCCAGGTGTCTACCGATAGCCTTAGAGGCCTTTGCTTAGCCACAGCCTTGGGCAAACAGTCCACCTGCCAGCCTCCATCCCCCAGCCTCTCCCACAGGCACCTTTGCAGTCCCCCAGCCCGCCCCTCATGTGCAGGGAAAGATTCTGACTGCACACGGGACAGCACCAGGTGTGGGGTAGGGCCTGTGGCTGACTCTCAGCCTGCTACAGCCAGTGGCTTCAAGCGATCAGCCCCTCCTAGCCAGGGCTGGCCTCCAGTCCCAGCTCAGAGACCCCCAAAAACTCAGAGACCCCCAAAAAACCACCTTTGAGTCCCACCTCAGACCGCCCCCTGCTGGAGCTTCCACAGGGAACGCCAGGCACCATGCGGTTAGCACCGCTCCCAACAGGCAGAGCACTACCTGGATCCTATCGCCTGCACCTCCCCGTCTCCCCCTCCCGCTTTCCCCCCTTGCTCGCTCTCACTTGGATGACCGTCCGCTCTTTGGGGCAGGGGCTCTCATTTGCAAGGTGTTTGTGCAGCGCCCCACACGGCTCTGCAGTTGGTGTGCAGGCATTACGGTAACAGATACATTTGCCATGCCTGCTCCTACAGGGAACTGTACAGTCTAACTACTTCTGAAGCCCTAGCACAGCGGTGGGCAACCGGCAGCCCATCGGGGGTACGTGCGTGGCCAGCGAGACATTCCGTGTACCGCTGCCCACACACAGGGTTGCCAGACTCCGCTGGTTCCCCCGCACGTCGTTTGTGTCCTACCGGTATTCCTAAAGCGACGTGCACGTAAGGCCGGGGCACGTGAAGGGAGGGGCGTGTGGATTGCACACAGCACGGACTGCGGGAGCCGTGCGCTCCATCTGTGGCCAATCCCAGCGCGGCTACGGTTCCATCAGCACCCCCTGCAAATTCTAGGTACGCAAGTGTCGTGAGCAAAACTGCCCTGTGCCGGGAGACCGGCTTGGTTACAATCATCTCACAGCCGACTAAGCTGAAGGTGGCCACTCCTACAGCTCACCTGTTAGCCAACGTTGCCCACTGCTGCTCTACAGAGAGCCTGGAGCAGAACTGAGACCCTACCCTGATCCCCAAGTGCCAGAGCAGTGTCTTCCCCGGGCCTGCTTCCCTCCCTCCTTTCTGCCTCTAAATCCACCCCAGCGGTGAGATTTCTGGGGACTTTCCCAATCACATCCCCAGTGTTCAGTGGCTGGGCTTCTCCCACACACGCTCATCCTGGCAGCCGACCCTGGGCAGGGAGAAGGCTGCTGCCTCCCAGCCATCAGCGTCTGGCTGCCAGGGAGAGGGGAGGACGCATAGTCTCACACACACACCCTAGTATGGGGAGACACCAGTCGGCTATATTCATAAATGAGCTGGAGAAAGGGAGATGACATAAATGAGCTGGAGAAAGGGAGATGACAAAGTTTGCCGATTATATTAACCTGCCCCGGATGGTTAAGTACAAAGCAGACCGAAGAGCGACGGCGTTATTGCACAAAACTCAGTGACTGGGCAACACACTGGATGATGAATTTTAGTGCGGATATAGAGAACCCACAGCCTTCAGTGCCAGGGGCCTCTAGCACTTGAGCTAAAGGAGCAAGCCTTCAGCAGTAGTAGGTTGTTAGCTTCCAGGTGGACCCATCTCTGTGTGTTACAATGAGGCTGTGAAGGAAGAAGTTTGCCTGCAGAGCGCCAAGGGGCTCCTATCCGGTATAGTTTGAGCGTCCCTGTGGCTCTCAGTTCCCCGGTGCCCACCTCACTCGCTGCCCCGTGCCCCCAGCACCTTACCTACGGTAATGATGTCCAGCATCTTCTTCCACACATTGTACTGCAGGGACCCCAGGAACTTGGGGACATCAACCAGCATCCCCGGTGGGATGGCTTCTGGCTCCTCGGCCGTGCAGGCAATCCTGGGGACATGCAGGGGCAGTTTAGACGGATCCAGCCGGGGAGGCTAGTTCTAGGGGGGTTACCGCAAAGCATCACCTGGGTCAGGGAGGACTCGGCTGGGACAGGGGTGAGACCACCGAGCACAGCAGAGTCGGGACAGTGCTCTGTTCTCAGGGTCCGACCAGCACCACGCTAGGGGCTGCTGTGCTGAGGGAGGGGCTGTCTGTCCAACGGGGCTTTGAAACCAAATCCTCAGCCGTTCCCTGGCTAGAGTCCAGCTTGGGGAGTTACGGCCTGTCTGCCACTGTCCCTCCAGAGTCAGCTGGAGAAGGGACCCTTCATTTCCAAGCCTGAAGGGCTGCCTAGAGCCATTCCCGGGGCGGGGCGGGGCTGCAACTCCTGCCTTTGGCACCAGAGATCAGTCCTAGACCGGCCCTTCAAAGGCCAACGTGGCACAGAGGGTGCGATTCCTTATTTCGACCCAGAGTTTGCATCTCAGGCTCATCTCTACCCATCCAATTTGTAAATCGTTCTAGGACCCAAGACACCCTGGGCCAGTGTTCCCTGTAAGTTGTGCGCTTGGGCAGCCACCCAGGAGGGATTCAAACAGCGCCCAGCTGATGAGCACAGCGCCCACAGCCACCATCATGTGCTTCCATGGTGGTGCACATCCATACCTGCCTGGGTGCACCAAATTTATTCCGCACATGGATGGACAAAGTTTAGAGGGCACATTGCTATGGGCTGCACAGGCAGAGGCGCTGGGCCCCTGCAGGAGTGGCAGGTACTCCGCACCTTGGAAAACAAGGCCCTCTAGGAAAGCACCACCTCCACCTAGTCACAGCAGTAGCCCTATGTACTGTGTGATCATTTCATGTCTCCCTCTTCCCCAGGAAACTCTTCACAAGGGACAAAGCCACTATGCTGGGGATGGGGAACGCCGCGGACTTGGCGCAAGAGGGCCACGTGTTCCCCAACAAGCCTCCAGTGCACAGTCAGGATTTCAACCAGTCAGGACGGCACGCTACCTGCGCTTGCGGTTCTTGTGTTTCTGAAAGAGGAAAGAGACGTCTCACGTTACAAACGCGCCTCGGGCCGGTTTAAGTGAACAGAGGAACGGACAACGGGGAGGGGTGGGGAGAGGGGACACAGAATCGGGCCCTGGGGACAGGACTGTAATGCACTGGAGCACCTGACTTCCCAAATGTGGAGGGGATGGGCGTTAAATTCTTACACCCAGGACTGGGGCGATCCAAAGTGTAACTCCCCCCAAGAAAGCAATAGGCTTCTAAGCAGGTTTGAGACACAATTTACATGGAAAACAGGATTGTTTCACCCAAACCGCCTGGAGGAGGTGCTGACTCCGCACGCATGCAGAATACGGGCAAGTTTTCCTTTGCTTGGTTGCAGACTGTTTCTCTGAGGTCTCCTCTCTGCCCAGTCCCTTCCGTAGCGCCTATGGGCCTGTCTGTAGCGTTCCTGTAAGCTGCGAGCTTGCGCTCTGGAGAGATCGCAAGCTAGGATATTTTGTTTCTACCAGTGGTGCACATTCCTCAGCACACAAAAAAAAATGTATTCCACACACAGATGGAAGAGATCAGAGGGAACACTGCCTGTCTACACTTGAGATACAGCTTCAGTCTAGACGCTATGGAGCTGTAGTAATTCCCCAGCCGCCTAGTCATCCACTCCCCAGAAAGGTGAAAGCTAGCTCGATGGAAGAATTCCTCCGTCACTCCAGCGCTGTCTACACAGAGACTCAGGCTGGCTTAACTATGCCACTCAAGTGTGGGATTTCTCTCACCCCAAGCGACGCAGGTGAACCAATCTCATTTTCTAGGGCAGACCAGCCCAAACTGGCTTAATCCAAAATGATCACACCCTTCAAATACAGGGACAAGTCTGCAGCTGGTGTCAGTTGGGGTGCTCCATTGAAGGCCACACACGAGGCTGGGTTTACACCATCCAGGGATGCCTGAATCAGGTTTGATGCCCCTTCACCGAGCTGTGGGCATCACTTCCCCAAACTCTCTGCCATCTGCCCATGGCCTTACTGGAGCAGCTCGGACCGGACGCCAGCTACCCGTGCTGTGTGGGGAGGGACACCCCACTCCTTATAGAGGGGAGGTTTCTGCACTGCCAACTCCAAATGGCGACAAGTAATTTTTCCACTGTCCCTTCACGTCCATGCTCGGCCCCCGTACTCTGCCACGTGCCATCTCGGGTTACTGCTCCCAGACGGATTGCAGGTTACCTCCTGCCTTTGTCACTAGAGCCTCTTATTTCCCAGGGGTACAGAGGTGCCCACATAGGGGCACCCAGCTGCTCTTGGTCCCAGGAGAGGCAGGTGGCCGCATTTATTCTAGCTGAAGACTAAGGACGATCATGGAAAAGTTAGAGCTGAGTCAACCACTGCACGGCTAATCATTTGAGCAGAAACCTCTAGCTCTCACACTGTGGGCGGAGCTCTGGACGTGGGCGGAGCTCTGGACATGGGCGGAGCTCTGGACATGGGCGGAGCTCTGGTGTCATTCTACCACTCCCCCTACCACACTACCCCACTGGAGTCAGGGAAAAGGGGCGACTGTAGGCACTGGAGGTGGATGGGAGGGGGTTTTACCCTGAGGAAGGAGAGGTCGTCCTCCTTCAAGTCAGCCTGCAGCTGGTTCACCTCGTGCAGCAGGGCGTCACTGTCCTCCGACAGCTTCTTGATCTTGCCCTCGATCAGGCCCCGCTTGCACCGAGCCTCCTCCTGCAGCTCCGACAGCACGGCCTTCTCCTCCCCCCGCAGGAACTCGTGCAGCTTCTCAAACTCCTCCCTGATCTGACCCTCCAGCCTGGCCACCTCCACCTGCCCGGCGGGAGGAATCACAGGGTCACAGCGGCGACCTGACAACCCAGGGCCTCACCACACCCAGGGGGTCCCTGCACCCAAGAGCTGCCCCCCAGACCGCACGCCGCCCCACTCCAGGACAGGAAGGGCGATGTGTATGCCTGGGGTTCCGCTCAGACACAGCCGTAGGGGCCCTGCCCCAAGGAGTCTGCAATCAAGAGAGACCGATCGGAGTTTTTCTAATGACTTTTCCGTTAAAAAGCAAAATCTGACACAACCTTGGCTGCACTAAAACCATCGAAGGCTGAAAAAGGCTTGCGATTTTTTGACTTGCCTTTCTCACTTTCAGTTGTTTGAGTTTTGTTTGCCGCAGATGAAAGACATCTGGGGCTTCGGGCCCCCTGCGGGAGGGAAGGACCAAAGCCCTAGCTGGGGCCAGGAGCCGACCGCCCAAACTAAACCTTTTCAATTAAAAAAAACCCGGAACATTTTGTCTCATTTTTTCCCCAACCGACACAAGGCAGAGGGCGGCCCCTCTCCCATTGAAACAGCACAGGAATCCAGTGCCCCTCTCCCATTTGTGCGCTTGGGAATCTCTACTCCTCCCTAGGCGGTGGGTGTCCGGTAGCTTCGTCTGGGCCTCTGGCGCCGGTCAGGTCGGCTTCCCAGGCTGCTCTGGTACGTCCCCAGGATCTAGGCTGGCTTGCCCAGGCTGCGCAAAGCCCTGGGCTCACAGCCACTTGCCACGTGCCAAATGGCGCCTGTGCCGGTGTGAAGATCCACAACCCGCCCTGTTCCCATGTTGCTCCTGGTCCCACCCTCCCAATCACCCATCCCGATGCAGATTCCCGACCCCAAGGCACAGCAGACGGGGGCCGATTCTGCCTCCTGTGACCCAGCCTGCCTGCCTCAACACTCCTGCCGTTATCCTCCTTGACACCGGTGTGAGGGATTGCTGGCACAGGCTAGGGGCAGGGCTCCACCCCAGAGGTGGCTGCATCCCTGCCACAGGAGCGTAATCCTCTACATGCAGTTTGCAAAGGACCCTTGGATCCTCCAGGAGGAAAGGCTCCATTGGGCACTAGTCACCCAGAGAGACCAGGGGGCTTTGGGCCGTGGCACCAACTCAGCAACTTGTGGCTCAACCAACCCCTCCTGGTAGTAGTGAGAGACTCCGCAGCCGCCTGCCTGTGGGTCAGGCTCCACACACAACAAGGCCGGCTGTAGGTTTGCCAGCAGCCAAGACCCCCCCTCTGCAGGCTGTCTGGGCAGGGACTGTGCAAACCGCCAACCCGCTTCCACCTGGCGGCTCACCTGGTTGTGCTTGGAGATGGACTCATAGGAGCGCCGGACCGCCCCGAAATCCTTCACCTTATCCCGCAGGGAGTTCTCCATGTTCCTCCACTTGGCCTGCAAGGTGGGGATGCTCTTTGTCAGGGAACCAGGCCCGACGCCCTTTTATAGACACACAGGTAGACACCCACCCCCTTCACCAGAGTGAAATCACACCTCTTCACCAACAGTCACAGCTGGCATTTAGCTAGGCCCTCCCCCAAGGATCTCCAAGCCCGACAAGCCTCAGTCTAACGGCACCAGGCTCTCAAGAGTCCGAACTCCCCTGCTGCAGTGCCTAAGACAACTCCTAAGGGGCTTCCTTGCAGGGTATTTGGCACCTTCCTCTCAATATCTGGTCCTGGCCACTGTCAGAGACAGGCCCCTTGGCTAGAGAGATGCAGGCCTGATCCTGTCTGGCAAGTTCCCCCCGCCCAGTGCTTGTTTTCCCTGTTCTGCAGGCAGGCACCCTCCCGTGAGAGAGTCCGAGACTCACGCCCGCTCACAGCACGGCTGGGATGACCGCAGAGGAGGCCTGACTCGGAGGGCTGTGTCTCAACCACTAGGCCACACTACCCCCGCTTGTCCACCCTGCACACTGTCGGTCGGGGTTATGAATCAGATTTCAGCGCCGGTCCCAACGGCTGTTGCTGCAGCAGCGTTTGAATGAAGGCACGGCCCTTCCCGGTGACTCACTCGGCCAGTGACGACAGCAGCTCCAATTTCCCTTTTCTGGCTGGGAGAGGGAAACAGCTGTCTGGAGAGCGGCCCTGCTCCCGGACTCGTGAGTGGGAGGGGGCCCCGAGCGGGTTCTCTGCCACAGTCTCTCTGCCACCCACCATGCCAGCGCTAAGCAAACTTCACTGCCCTTGCCCCGTGGGCCCACTCTCCAGGCATGGGGCCATGGCAGGGGCAGTGGCGGGGGGGGACAGCAGAGCTCTCCAGCTCTGCCATACTGCCAAGAGGACAAGCCACAGCCCTAGGTCTCCTGCCTGGGGACTGGCAGGGCCATGCAGCACCCCAGCTTTTTAATGCACCCCCACAGCAGGGCCATGCAGTGGGGAGAGGAGGCGGCAGGGCTAACTTACGGACAGGGTATCTATCTGGGAAACACCTGCGGCCCAAACACAGTCCTGCCCCTGGCTGCTTAGAGCCACGCCTATTTCCAGAGACCAACTAAGGGCAGCTCCGTAAAAATCCCAGGCCAGGGGCCTCAGGCAGTTTGCACGGACGGAAGGGCTGCACATACCTGTCCTACTGCAAGGGGGGGGCACCGTGCACCCCCATACACCTCTCTCTGCAGCATCCAAAGTGCAAGCAGCCCACTCCCCGGTTGGAAGTGCCACTGGGTGCATCCGTGTATCAGTGGTGCCACACGCACACACCACTGGCTGAATACCCGGTGGGCAGCCCCACCCCACGTGCCCAGGGCAAATCCCTGTGCCCATGCAGCACTGGCCACACGCCTGTCCTGCAGGTCTCCATGCAGAGGTGCACACACCCTCCCCCATCCTTCCCACCCCCGCAGGCACCTCACTGGGGGCACGGCCCCCTCTCTCCCCGCGTGGGCCCACTCACCCTGTAGTCCTTGGCCGTCTCCCCCACGGGCCGCACCTTGTGGCCCTCGTGCGGCTTGGAGGCCTGGCAGGCGGGGCACACCAGCTCCTTGTCCTCCTGGCAGAAGAGCTTGGCCTCCTGGCCGTGCAGGGCGCAGAGGGCGGGCCCCGCCTGGGCCCCCCTGCGGCTCTCCTCCCGCAGGAGCATCTCCACGAGGTTGTTGAGCGTGTGGTTGACGCGCAGGTCGTCCAGCGAGGACACCTCCTTGCAGACGGGGCAGGCGTGGCGCGGCTGGTGCGCCCAGGAGCGGCTCACGCAGGTTGTTGAGCGTGTGGTTGACGCGCAGGTCGTCCAGCGAGGACACCTCCTTGCAGACGGGGCAGGCGTGGCGCGGCTGGTGCGCCCAGGAGCGGCTCACGCAGGCCTTGCAGAAGTTGTGGCCGCAGCAGAGGGTCACGGCCTCGCGGAAGGGGTCGTAGCAGATGGGGCAGAGCAGCTCCTCTTTGAAGCGGGGGCTGGGGGCCGGGGCGGGGGGCGGGGTCCC